GCAGGAGATTGTCTTGACCATGTCTACATGCCTAAATGCATTGAGTTGCCGCCATGTGATTGGCTGATTAGAAATTAAGTGTTAACGAGCAGTTGGACAGGTGTACCTAATAAAGTGGCCGGTGAGTGTATGTTTGACTGTAAACAAATTGTTGGTAATAACTCTGCTGATTATTACCAACAATAACAATAGAGTCTGCATTAAAAGGTGTAAACCTTTTAATGTAGACTCTATAGGTGGTTAATTTGATTTGATGTATTTATTTAAATGGGGACAGTGCAATTTAACAAAATCACATGACAATTCATGGGTTTTAAAAGCCAGAATTAGCCAAAAGGTCATTTCTCATTTGTAGTCCCCTGGCCACAGGGCCAAATATTTTGATGCCTTGGGCAAGATTTCAGGCAGACTGTCAGCGGGAGAACTTATAGCGGCAGAGCGGGTTGGAAGATGTTTTTTTWAAATGTTATTTATTTGTTTTTTTAACATCCTACCGGCTCTGATGTGTTAAATAAAGTTGAAACTGTGTGATTGTTCTATACGTATTCAAAAAGAGGGAAAATCCGTGTAAATTACGGACAAGCCGTAAAATTGACATGATAATACCAGAGGTCTACCTCACCTGCCAACATTTGCTGATTGCAATAAGGAACACCTGATCATGTTAACTAACAGCTGTGGAGTGAAGCAGTTCTAGGGGAGTCCAGGGGTACACTCCCCCAGAATTGTTTGTAAAATATCTACTCAAACCTATGCATTTTCAGCAATTTGAAGACAATTTCCCCACCAAAAATAATTAAATATATATATAAAAAAATCATACAACAGAAAGTTGTAAAACTTTTTTTTACGTCCCCCATCTGTGGTGTCTCTTAGATGGAAGACGACCTACTGCCTAWGCCACAGCCTGCCTGGCCATGATGCTTCAAAAGCACTAAAAAAATAAGAATAAAAATACAACAACACGCGATTACTAAAGCCAAGAAATTATGTAAAAATCCCTGACACAATTTAGTCAAAGACAACACTCATACAAAAACATTCAAATAAGAAAAAGAAAAATAACACAATGAATCAGATGATTATATTTATTACCAGTATTTTATTTTATCTTGTCTTTTTTTTCTTTAACTGGTGTTATTTGTGTGTAAGTTATTTTGTGTGATGACTATGTGTTGGACCACAATGGAAATAAGCTTTATGCTTTATTGTGTTATCCATTTGTGTTAATGTTATTGTGTATATATGCAGTACCGTTTACATGATAAATAAAATGAATGAATGAACAAATTAAAAACAATAATTTTGGGAATCCTAACTTTCCTAAAACAGAAAAGATTAGTCTGATTTCTGATTGGTTTGAACAGCGGATTTATTTTTTGGAAACACATCCGATTTAAAGTAGTCCATCTTAAAGCTACACCGATAATTTGTAAAAGTAAATAGAAAATCTACTTTTTATTTTTTTATTTTCTACTGAAGRGGTGGTTGTGTTGTTTATAAATAGAATTTACCAGACCAGAGCACCCACAGCTGCTCCCACCTGCTCCACCGAATTACAAACGCAGCTAAAAATAAATCTATCAAATTAGTTTTTTAAAACTGAATTCACCTATTGAAAGTTGTGGGTGTTGCGCGCATAACTCTGCACCGGTGTGGTGACAGAAACCGTGACACAGATGATGAGCGCGCGCGCACACACACACCTGAGCGGCGCCTCATCAACACAAAGCGCTGACTGCAGCCGAGGCTTTACAGGAAACAGAGGCGGCAGAAAGAAACAAGCCCCGGTGCTTTCAGCAGGAGGACGTGTGACCACACAACAGCTTATCTGATCATTTTCCCATTTCTTCTTCTTTTGCACGCCTGAGAAAACTCCGTGCTCACAAACAGCTTAACATGAAAAAGTACTTTTTATTTATTTTTCCTTTTTTTTAAAGTCTGAACAATTCCAAGGAAGCGAAACCAGTTATCACACGGCATCTATTAGATTTCCATATTTCTCTCACTATGAGGATAAAAACGTAGCTAGAGCTGTTTTTGAGACTCTTCAGAACACGTGACAATAATTAGATCAAATGGGCATAAACATTAAAACTTTGGCTACAACAGTTAATAAATCCTGACCTCAACAGTCTGATAAACACATGATAAATACATTAAAAAGGGAAGTCTACCTTGGTGGTTTGGACGSTCAGCAGAAGCAGAAAAAGCAGGAGTTTGTTCTTCATCGCTCCTTTAAAGCAACCTGAAGAGGACAGGATGCAGCAGCCAGCAGCCTTCTTCTGTTTCTGTTCATCTCATGAAGGCGGGTCAAAAGTCTCCAAGCCGAGCTGTTTCCTCACAATAACGCGAGTGATTTGGAGGAAGGAAACGAGCGCCCGGTATGCTAACCCACTTTCACAGAACTGATGTCAGTATAATCAGAATGAGGTTAGAAGCACTTTCAGCTTTATTTTATCCTCATCTGATTCAGCAGAAAGCCTGAGTGAGGAAACTGAAAACTKTTTCACATCATTAAAATGGACTAATTGCAAAGGATGAAGTCAAACTTATAAACTTATATCTCTCTCTAACATATATAAAGTTATCCTACATAATGTTCAATGGTGCAGTTTGGAAAGTTTTTATCTAGTAGTTTTTAATTGATATGCAGCTCTGAATGGTGTGCATCAATGTAAACAAAGCTCTAAACCAGGGGTTCTCAAGTCATTTGGGTCTGGGGACCCCTTACAAGGGCAAACAAAATTCCAGGAACCCCCTCATAAACCCCATGCTGTTTTAAAAGATAATTTATTGTCATTTCAACCCCTTAATGCCATGGCAATATTATGTTTGTTTTATTAGTTCATTGT